CAATGACAATCCAGTAACTCATTTTCATTCAACAGCAAATGGAATTTATAATGTTTTGCAGTCTTATTTGTTTTTCGAACCACAGTATACAATATTACACTGCACGCCCATGCACATTTAATGGTTTAAAACACACACAAACAAATCTTCCGGAATATCGAAAAATTGTGTCCCTCAAAATTTGGCTGGTCCATGGGCTCTAACAATCAACATAATATACTGTATAATCGTTATATGCGCACTCCCCTCCAAAAGTATGGAAACAATTTTAATAGGTAAATTCTCCTCCCAAAAGTTTGGAAACAATTGTAGTAGGTATACTACCCTCCAACAGTATGGAAACAGTTATAAAGGAACACTCCCCTAAAAAGTTTGGAAAGAAATGTAGTAGGTACACTCCCTCCAAAAGTTTGGAAACAATTGTAATAGGTGCACTCCCTTTCAAAATTTTTAAACAACTGCAATAGGCACAGTCTCTTCTAACATAATATGATGTATAACTGCTATAGGTGCACTACCCTCCAATAGCTTTTAAACTATCCAAATTTTTGGATGTTGGAAGTTATGCATTAATTTGAGAGAATTTCAATATTCTATGGATTATTAGCCTACACAAGATAAACATTATATGCTGGGTATATGTTATTTTTGAAATTTTATAACAACATTTTATTAGGGCTGCCATCATTAGTCGGAACGTCGACTTGTCAGTCAAAATGCAAGTTCGACAACGAAGTCGACAAAATTCCCGTCATGTCGACAGCAAACGATATCAATACTTACTTGAAAATATCCAAATGGCCCCAATACATTTCAATACACATTTCAACGTGTTATGTGCGCGTATTCTGCGGAAATATTGTTCACATTCATTTCATTTTCAAAAAATAAATTCACCCGGAAGTTCCCTTCATGACTTCTCTTCTCTCTTGCGAGACGTTGTACGAGATTTCGCCCGAGCAGTCGAAATAAATCCCGGTCGAAACATTGCAGGTATTTGTCCCATTTTCGTCTATAATATTCTATTAACTTGGCATTTAGTAACAATATTAGGCAATTACATACCAATATGAATATAAGTTATATGAAGCTTTTCCCCGATAGTGTATAAAGTGTGTTAATGAACCAGATAAAAATTTGGAAAAAACGAACCAACAACACAGAAATAATTTTTCTTTTTTTCCCGATGATTTTTTCTCCCTGGAAAGTTCGATTGTCCACAATATTTTCGACAGCAGAGTTCGACTGTCGACACTGACATTTGAGTTCGATGGCAGCCCTACATTTTATATACAACTACCTGACAGAAGCAAATAACTACCTGAAAATTGGCCAGGTAGTTATTTTGGCACCAGGCAAAATCTGAGTATCGAGGCCTGATACCTAATAAATGTCAACTAAATATCATTTTATAAAATGTGTAAAGCAATTAACATGTTAATTAAAGCTTTGAAATAAAGCATACTTGAAAAGTAGCTGCGAAATTGACAGGTGTATATTTAAGAAAAGGGAGTCATATCAAACATTGACTAGTTTAATGCATTAACTTTGTGATTTGCACCTATAAAATTTACATCAGAGATATAAGTGACTGAGCTATGCGAAATGAAATTTTGGTGCATTTTAGAGGAAAAATAAAGGTTTTGTGTTACAATTTACAAATGTTCCAATTTTTTTAGGACCACCCTGAAAATATGGTATATTGTACTGGTATTGTATTTGCAAACTATATTAAATGCCAAAAATAAAAAGAATGAGATACTAAGTCCATGCATTGCACTATATATATGAAGTTATGTAGTTGATTTACTTATGCTTTATATAATATCTAAAATACAATTTTCTAATTTATCTATAGATGTCACTGTCAAATATATCATGTAAACGCAACATGAGAACATTTGGAGATATTTTCTGAGGATTTTAACAGATGTTAGGCCAACGTTAACTCCAGGACACGCAGAAGAGATGATAAAATAATTTGGACTTTAAGACAGGAGGGGTGCATACACCATAATCAACATGTTTTTTCTGTAATGTTGTCCTGATTTCCAGTCCAATATTTGTTGCATTAACATGTTGTGTTTTGAGACACAGTCAACATCTTTAAAGGAAAATATGATTCATGCTGGGCTTTTTAAGATATCAATTTTGGGTGAAAATAACATAAGGAATATTGTTTTCCACTTTATCAAAATGAATCATATTTCCTTGAAATAGGTTGACTATGTCTACAAATGCAACATATTGATGCACCAAACATTGAAAAAACATGTGTGAAAAGGGCAACATTAAAACAAAAATGTTTATGGGGTGTTTGCACCTTCCCTGTCTCAAAGTCCAAATCATTTTATCACCTCTATGAGTGCTTGATTTGGAGTTAATGCATTGGCCTAACATATGCACCTGTACAAATCCCCAATCAATAGCAGAGCGCAAACTTCAACATGACAGTTTTAAATCAGTTGTGATACCTTCCGTGGACCTTTCTTCAATTATTATTTACCGAAGGATACACCCCGTATCAAAAATCGAGCATTCAATAACTGATTTATCCTATACTTTGTAGATTATGAGAATTAAATACCTCAGCGGGAGGTATATATATCACCCACTCACCTCAGATATTGCTTATATACCCTTATGTTATTTACCTATAACACTACTTAAGTATGGGATAAATAAGAATAGTGTACTCCTGATAAATTACGACGCTATAAAATTTCGTGATTTTTCAAAATTGCAATTTCGCAGCTATTTAATTTCGGGGATTTGAGTTGATGACATTTCGCGGATTGCACAAGTTGAATTTTTTTCCGATAACTGTGAATCGATGTGTATCCGGCTATTTTATGGTTTCATTGAAATGTGTGTTCTAATCTCTAGAAGGTATCCTAATCTTCAGGTAAATCTTATTTTTCAATCTACCGACGCAGTCAGGCCATGGAATCTACTCTAACATGTATTTTCTCCATAGTGAACACCATCCATTGATCTCTATAGGAAAAAGTGTCCATCTTCTTCCCATAGAGATCAATGGATGGTGTACACTGTGATTTTCTCTTATACCATATTTGTTACACCTCTTATACCATATACAATAAAATTTGCCCCCTCTTATACAATATACAATAAATTCACCCTTTTATACGATATGCGATATCCCTATACACCCCCCCCCCCCGGCCCCCCCCCCCCCCACCACTACAAGGCCCATTATTAATAGAAAGCAAGCAAATGACCCGCAAATGACATGATAATTTTTGGGTCCACGGGTAAGGTACAGTACAGATATCACTAAAAAACGTATACATTATGGAAATCATGAAATTACCTACTCAGAAGTTCCTCAAGTTTCGGAGACTATATTTTGACCTGAATCGTAAATTAGAAAAACACTTTTCGCATATAAAAACACATTATTGAAGTAAGAAAAAACATACAGAGAAACTATGATTGATGGAGTGTACAAAGAAGTTTTAGATTTTTCTCTAATATCCAATATATGACATAAAAAAGCCATTATCTTACCGGAAATCAAGGAACGTCAATTCGATGTAATCCAACATGGCGCCGTAGTGAGGTTTCACGCACGCGCGATGTGACGTCACAAGTAATCTACAGGTAGTTACAGGTGTGACGATTTTCAATTATCGGAGACAGACATAGAACAATAGGAGACATGAGTTGCCATTCCCGTGGTTTAGTATTCCCAGATTAAACTTAATTTTATTAAAATATCAGAAAACAATTTTAGGGATTAGTTTTGTTTAACGTAAATTTTTAGTATCTTTTGAGTTTCTTTCTCACTCTCGTCAATCCTTTTTTAAGTTCATGTTTTCTTCATTTTAGGTAGAGATTAAAAGGTGGATTGGATCGAGTGGATTGGATTCGTGTAAAACAATAAAAAACAGCCCATATGTGAATATATGCATCAATGTATTTGCTGGCCGTAGGCTACTACAATACAGTAATCAAGAAGACCTGAGAGAGATAGAGAGATCGGAGAGCACCTTACCAAGACCATTCATTCAGAAAGTTTCCGTAAATAATCCCCCTTGTTAGGATGTATTGTATCATGTAATGTACTCCTTAAAAGAAGTTAAGGACCAGTATTTTTCCTCATAGGTTTACATTTTAAACCTTATGTATCTTTAAACTTTATTTTCTAAGACCGAAACGAAAGAAAAATTGATAATGTAAATGGATATGTACCTTGACTCTATTCTCTATATTTCAGGAAATTTTCAAATTAATCTCTCTATTACAATATGTCAAAAATTGATGTCAAAATTCAGGAATTTAAAAAAAATTGCAGAACCCATGTTAACCAATGGGAAATGGTGGGTTAGGGGCAAATCCGATTTTTGGATATGTATTTGGTAAAACATTGATCAAAAATAATTTCTGAGAAGACAATTGAATTGTTTTACTTTGTGCATGCTTTTTGTTTTAGCTTACAATGTGAGAATTACCGATATAGAGCATCAACGTATTTTTGACAACTCATTTTGACCCCCTGTGTTAGTTCAATGAGAGGTTTTATGAGAAATGATTTTGACTTTTGAAACTCATAACTTTGTAAAACCTGGAGAAACAAATCAATTTTTTGTTGTAGACAAGTTAGCAAATTCAATTGTCTATTTACATTCCATTTTTAGAGCAATGGTATTGATGGATATTTTCTCATATGACTTTTGGCAACCCAACAATTTCCCATTGGATTACATGGGTTCTGCCATTTTCTTTAATTTTCCTCAAATTTGACATCAATTTTTGACATACTGTAACGGAGATATTGAATTATCAATTTTCTGAAACATAGAGAATAGAGTCAAGGTACATATCCATCTACATTATCAGTTTTTCTTTCGTTTCAAGCTTTGAAAATAAGAGTTCAAACAGACATGGGGTTTAACATGTAAACCTATGAGGAAAAAGACTGGTCCTTAACTTTTTTGAGGAGTATAAAGTATTGAAATGAATATTTATGATCTTACCTACTGTGTAGATGATCTTGGTAGTATTGTCATATGCCAATTGCTCGGCTCCCATGGGACCATCTGCTTCAAAAATGGGAGTCCCATCGCCATACGACGAAGGGAAATACAACTTCGATAGTGCCCTCAAGCTGATGTCGCACTGGACATGAGACAAAATAACAAAACCGAAGAAATAATCATAACATCTCATCTTTGCTGCTTTGATTGTTCACGGCCGTTCTATATGTTTCCAAAATCAAATCTAAATTTTTAATTCTGATATACTTATCCCCAAGGCCCGAGTCCAAATTTCAAGAGTAATTGAAGCTATTGTTTTTCACACGATACGATACAGAGTGAATCTGCAGATATAGACCTATATGTGTATGAGCTGCGGTGCAATGATGATAACCATAACTTAAAACATCAAGTGCATCACATGCAGACTATGCGTTCACAAAACCCCCACGAGCGCGCGGTGCGGAACGAACTGTCATTTTGCCTTTGGATTCGAAATATTTTATCAACAGTTACCCCCACTGCATGAAAGCAACCTTAATGGGCTGCACAATCCAAACACATTCCGAATTCATTCAACATATATGTTTATAAATGGACATTTATGAGTTGACGCTCATTCACCAATGCACTCATGTGTAACAGCACATATGCGATGCATAGGCACTTTTTTATGTACTTTAAATGTTTTAATGTATTAACACCCATTTATTGACCATTCACAGTGTAAAATCGAAGCATTAGAAGACATAGACCGATGTACACCAAGGGAAAGATCAATACCCGGTGATTTCAGCGGGAAGTGGCGTTTCGTTCAGTGGATGAGCTGCGCGCGCACGCATAAATGTGATTATCCAATATAATTAGGGGAGGGCTATTTGAAATAGTTTTTGGTCTCAGGCGCGACCCAGGGCTGTTGTCTTAAGGACATTTCGTTGAAAATGAGCCATTCGGCTGATAATTGGTAAGAGTTTGCGATCTTATAATGTATAACTGTTACTCAGACACATATTTTGACACGATTCTGTTGGAAATAAGCTTTGAACCGAGAGATATTCACGATTGATATGCACATTTTTGATTGTGCCATTGCTTTTCCATTGCACAATCCATGTATTGATAGAAGAAACATTAATAATGCAGATTGGTTTACCTTCAATACATGGCAGACACTACATATCGGTCTTTTAATACCAGTTTGTGCCTTAAATAGTTTCATAATTTCCATCCACGGCCTGGAGCCTGGGTGTGTTTGTCTCTTATGTGTATGCTTGTGCATGGACTTCTAATCACTAGCAGAATTTAACATGATGCAAACTCGACATTATAACTCATGCTGTAACATTTTGACTTCGCTGGAAAACAATAGGAATTATTTTTCTTGCCAATCAATCATGAATCACAATCAAAAGTTTCAGAATGAGCAATCAGGCAATGATCCAAATCAAGTTATAACATTATATGATATTCAGCAAGAAGTCCGGTAGAAATACAGAATATTTAAACATCAAAGCTGAAAGTTAAAAGCTAATCTGTCAATTTTCTGTCTGCAAAAGAGCGTTTACATTTGACACAATAACAGACTGAGGCTTTGAAATCTAGGATTCCCCAGGAAAATATGACGTCATACTAATTAGCATAAGGATTTCCCTATTGGTTTGGGTCGAGCCTTGTTCGAAAACACAATCCATAAATACATGCTAATTTCTAAGGAGATAGGAAGTGTATAACGTGTTTATCGATTTTGTTTAAATATTTAATCAATTATCAAATTGTTTAATTGGATAAAGTGGTCTCACTTGCTTCAATTCATAGCGAAATCGACGGATAGAAACTGACCGAATTCCCGATATCCTACCCCGTATTACTGTAGGCTATAAGCACAGTGACCTACAGAGGGCGCTATCACAAACAAGTACTGCACGAACCGATAAATTCCCGGGTATTGTAACGCCCTTGTGTACACCACCATCCGTGCGCATTTACAGCGCATTCGTCTCCTAATATCCCAGATGCGAGTAGAAATAATCTTGATTTACGTCATTAAAAATTCACAATTCAGTCAAACTGATGTCATATTTGGAATGTACATGTAAATCTACATTTAGAAATGTGGTTTTGAAAAGAGTTTATCAACTTTGAAAATTTTCTTTTCTTTAAAAATGTGACTTCTAGGTCGGGGAGATTCCCAATAGAGCCCTTGTTGTAAAATCACAAAAAATGAAATATCTTTTATTGTGTTGGGCAGATAATATTTTCTTTTACTGGACATATTTTAATTTGTATAACTATCACATACATGAGGGTAATTTGAAAAGTGAACCACTAAAACTGATGCATATTCAAGTTTAAGGGAATTTTGTAATACCCAGCAATGTTATTTCCCCCGAATCAGCCACCTGGTGGCGAAACTGGTAACTACCTACTCGCATCTGAGTAATAGGATTTTATGGGTGCTTAATGTTACGCATACATTCAGCGTTATATTCATGAATGAGCACGAAATGACTTGTTTAATTTGTAAAGCATTCTACCAATGCTTTGGAACATTAAATGCTCATATAATTTTGTTATTTTCAATATTGTTTTGGATTTATGGGGGACTGGGGGGGGGGGGATTCTGAGGTACTGGTAGTTTTGGTGGTAATTGTCGTGTTCTACATATCAACATATAGTCCGGATAGGCTATAACATTTTTCATTCTCTTGTAACGTATCACTGTGACAAAATATTTTGATTTTTGTTGCAAGTGGAATTTTATTACAAATTCATAAAAGCATATACTGATATATGATAAAGAAGCATCTTGAATATACTCTACTACATAATTTATATGTAGGATTAAAATATATAATGTACTATATATAAAAAAAATTACGCTTTTCTGCAAGTGGAACACGCATTCAAATGTATACAATATCTTAATGATCTTTACTTTAATTGCAAGAGGTTCATCTGCATTTTCTACACATTTTGAAATATTATTCCCATGAGAGTCTGTTGTATTAATCCGTATTTTCTGTGATATTTGTCGATTACAGAGTTTTTTATATGTGTATATTGTATTGTCTCTTAAAATAGTAATGTCGTCTTGTTATATCCAATTTTTAAAAATGTTTTAAGTTTCAGAGCGGCACTTTGGGTATTCATTATTTTTGTCTTCTCATCGAGTTCTGCATCCGATTAACCTGAAAGTTAGCTCCATTCCAAAGGGTCATTTCTCTTTCAAGTGATCATGATCTCATGACATCGTCTGAAAATAAAAAGAATGAAAATGAAACAACTAATACTCTAGAAGAGAAATTTTGATTTCATTCATCATCATTTCATTCAGAATTGTACCTAACTGCCCCAGGATTGTTCCTAACTGCCCCAGGACTGTACCTTACTTCCCGGGACTATACCTTACTGCCCAAACTTGGTTCCTTTCATATATCTGATAATCAATTAATAACATGTTTAACATCTTAATCTTACTGCCAAAGGAATCGTACCTTACTTCCCCAGGATTGTACTTTACTGCCCCAGGATTGTACCCTGCTGCCCCAATCTGGTGCCTTTCATGTATACCATAATCAATTAATACTATCATTTTAATATCTTCCATTGATTTCAGATGAAATGTTACTGCCTCAGGATTGTACCTAACTGCCCCGGGATTGTACCTTACTGCCCTAGGATTGTTCCTTACTGCCCCAACGTGGTACCATAATCAATTAATAACATGTTGGTGATATCTTCAATTGATTTCACATAAAATCTTACTGCCCCAGGATTGTACCTTACTGCCCCAAGATTGTACCTTACTGCCCCAACTTGGTACCTTTCATGTATATCATAATCTATTAATAACATGTTGGTAATATCTTCAATTGATTTAATATAAAACCTCACTGCCCCAAGATTGTACCTTACTGCCCCAACTTGGTACCTTTCATGTATATCATAATCTATTAATAACTTCAATTGATTTAATATAAAATCTTACTGCCCCAGGATTGTACCTTACTGCCCCAAGATTGTACCTTACTGCCCCAACTTGGTACCTTTCATGTATATCATAATCTATTAATAACATGTTGGTAATATCTTCAATTGATTTAATATAAAACCTCACTGCCCCAAGATTGTACCTTACTGCCCCAACTTGGTACCTTTCATGTATATCATGATCTATTAATAATATGTTGGTAATATCTTCAATTGATTTAATATAAAATCTCACTGCCCCAAGATTGTACCTTACTGCCCCAACTTGGTACCTTTCATGTATATCATAATCTATTAATAATATGTTGGTAATATCTTCAATTGATTTAATATAAAATCTCACTGCCCCAAGATTGTACCTTACTGCCCCAACTTGGTACCTTTCATGTATATCATAATCTATTAATAACTTCAATTGATTTAATATAAAATCTTACTGCCACAAGATTGTACCTTACTGCCCCAACTTGGTACCTTTCATGTATATCATAATCTATTAATAACATGTTGGTAATATCTTCAATTGATTTAATATAAAATCTCACTGCCCCAAGATTGTACCTTACTGCCCCAACTTGGTACCTTTCATGTATATCATAATCTATTAATAACTTCAATTGATTTAATATAAAATCTTACTGCCACAAGATTGTACCTTACTGCCCCAAGATTGTACCTTACTGCCCCAACTTGGTACCTTTCATGTATATCATAATCTATTAATAACATGTTGGTAATATCTTCAGTTTATTTAATATAAAATCTTACTGCCCCAAGATTGTATCTTACTGCCCCAAGATTGTACCTTATTGCCCCAACTTGGTACCTTTCATGTATATCATAATCTATTAATAACATGTTGGTAATATCTTCAATTGATTTCACATAAAATCTTACTGCCCCAGGATTGTACCTTACTGACCCAAGATTGTACCTTACTGCCCCAGGATTGTACCCAACTGCCCCAACTTGGTACCTTTAATGTATATCATAATCTATTAATAACTTCAATTGATTTAATATAAAATCTTACTGCCCCAAGATTGTACCTTACTGCCCCAACTTGGTACCTTTCATGTATATCATAATCTATTAATAACTTCAATTGATTTAATATAAAATCTTAGTGCCCCAAGATTGTACCTTACTGCCCCAAGATTGTACCTTATTGCCCCAACTTGGTACCTTTCATGTATATCATAATCAATTAATAACTTCAATTGATTTAATATAAAATCTTACTGCCCCAAGATTGTACCTTACTGCCCCAACTTGGTACCTTTCATGTATATCATAATCTATTAATAACATGTTTGTAATAGCTTCAATTGATTTAGTATAAAATCGTATTGCCCCAGGATTGTACGTTACTGCCCCAGGATTGTACCTTACTGCCCCAAGATTGTACCTTACTGCCCCAAGATTGTACCTTACTGCCCCAAGATTGTACCTTACTGCCCCAACTTGGTACCTTTCATGTATATCATAATCTATTAATAACATGTTGGTAATATCT